AACCAGGGACCTGCTCGCTGAGAGGCAGCAGCTCTACCAGTTGCGCCACCGTGCTGCGCTGATATTTTCCGTTTTCTTTTAACATGTCTCTCCAAACCTTTAGGGTCCCACAACTCTGGAAAGACTGTGTCATTGTTCCAATACCAAAAACCAAGATTGCCCAGTCACTGAACAACTTCAAGCCTGTTGCCATGACTTATTTAGTTATGAAGTAATACAAAAAACTGGTTCGGAAGACCCTCTTGTCAAAAGTTGGAGATCATTTGGACCCACTTCAATTTGCTTATCTTTCACATAGAGGAGTGGAAGACGCAACAGGAACTCTTTTAAATATGATTCTAGGACACCTTGAAGGTATGAAAACCTTTGTAAGATGACTTTTTATTGACTTTTCACCTGCTTTTAATTGTATTCAGCCCCACATTTTAGCAGAGAAATTACAATGTATGTACGGTCCGGACTCTGGCCTCATCTGTTGGCTTGTGGACTTTTTAACTGTTTGGTCTCAGCAGGTGAGGGTCATTGGGGTTCTCGCTGATATCCTTCTGTCCTCTACCGTTGCCCCTCAGGGCTGTGTTATTTCACCTGTTTTATTCATTTTATATACAAATAATTGTCACAGCCATTTCCCACAGCGTCACATGTTAAAGTTTGCTGATGACTCTGTCATCCTGTCGCTTCTGAGCAGTGATGACCCAGACCCCAGGGCTGTGATTGGGGACTTCACTGAATGGTGTGTCTTCCTCTTTAAAGCTAAATGTTTCGAGACAAAGGATATGGTCATAGATTTCAGAAAAAAATCTTCAGTTGCAGCTCCTGTGGTCATTAACGATGAAGCTGTTGAGGTGGTGCATTAATATAAATATCTAGGAATTGTTCTTGATGACAAACTGACCTTTGACCCCCATGTGAACTCACTTTGTTAAAAAGACCACCAGAGAATGTATTTTATCAGAAGCTCTGTGGTTTTATTGTTGATTTGACATTTATGAGAATGTTTTATTCATGTTTTATTGAGTCTCTTAACTTTCACCTTCACCTGTTGGTTTGGACTTTTGACATGTAAGAACAGGAACAAACTCTCAGGGATTGTCAGGATGTGCAGCAAAACTGCTATACCTACTGACTGTGAATCTAATTGCCCCTCGGGGATAATAAAGATACTTGAACTTGAACTAGAACTGGAGTTTGTTTGCAACAATTGCATGCGGGGTCCAGGTTGGCTTTGATCTTGGGCAACTTGTGTGTAGTAGCTTATAGAATGAAAATTACAGTATTTACATCTGTCCCAGCAAAATTTAGCCAAATCTTATAAAGATGCTCAAAGAACTTGTGGAAGGGGATTGTATATTTTTGTGTATGGAGACTGACAGCTCTCCATGGCCGTGCTGGCCTGGAGAGAGTACGCCTCGGCCGGGCATCGTAGGGGCACGTTCTCTACGATTGTTAGTTATTCTGTATCATCTGTCAGAAAGGCTGATGGCAAACTTCAAAATGCCAAACCATGTCTGTATAATAAAAATGTTTGTGGTAAAGGAAGTAAAAATCTGTACAGGGAAGGAAAACTTTAGCCCCCTGGCAGAGGGTCTTTCCAGGAGTTCTGTGCTGCAGTTTCTCATGAAGTATAAAATGTCCATGTGAAGAATATAATTTTTTTAAGTGAGTCCCCTTTGCAAATTTTTTTAGTTTTAATCATATTTATGATTAATCATTAAGAATAACTCTAATCCCAAGTTTTGTTGTTGGAACAGCTTTATTTTTAAAAGGCAGGATGGTGGAAACAATATGAGATTAGGTTTTGATAAATTATTTAAGTCACTATATGAGCCAGATGCTTAAACCTATAAACTGTAATTTACTTGAGAATAAGAAGTTTTAATATCTAAGGAATACTTTGGTAAAGATTCTCAGTATCCATGGAAACATCCAATTTTATTGTACAAAGTAAAAAGTCATAAAATATTGCTGTTAAATTAATGTGATTTAAACAACACAATCAGACAGAAACAATATTTTATACTTGTGAAAACATTTGGAAGGAGTTTACAAAAGTTAGTGATGAGAAAGAAAAACATTTGACAACAAACGTGCAAGCAGCAGCAGCTGGCTGTAGCACTTGTGATGTTCATGCTAAAATTTACAGCGTCATGCGAATTTTGCAGCAACGTAAATATTTATTAAAAAAACATTTGAACATTTTATTGCACTCTTAAGATCATGATTCCACAATAAATCTGCAAACACAAACTCTTTTTTTAATTTGTTGATCACATCACACACTTTGATCCAGTGACATCAGAGATCTGTGATTTCAGAACATGGATCAAAGCAGCGTGGAGTAGAAACAAACCAGTGATATGTCACTGAATTTCATCTTTTGCTCTCAGTAAAATACATTTTTCAAAACTTGCTATCACTCCAGTTAGCTTAGCTCGCTGAGGTGTAAGAAAACACACAGAGCAGGGGTGTCAAACTCACTTACAAAAGGGGGCCAAAATTAAAACATTTTCAAACTAAAGGCCAGTTTCAGAATCGACATTAACTCAAGTCAGACATCCAACATCTTTTCTTGGTTGCAAGTTCCTCAATAAGAGTTTGATTGGTCTCATTTGATGTTCTCTGTTGCACTTTTGACATCACAATCAAAGATTACTGAAAAAAAAGTGATAAAATTGATAACTCACAGTTTATGTGCTCTTGCTCAATTTTAACATGTGTATTTTATTTTACATTTCTGCTGTCCTTGGTATAAAAGGACACCTGAGGTTTGACCCAAAGGCAGTAGGAGGGTTGAATAGATTTACATGCAATTACTGTATGTATACCTTAAGCACAAAACCTGATTGGAAACATAGCAATAATAGAGTATAGACAAAATACCATAAATAACCACTTGATTTCTGTTGGAAAGCTGATTCCTTGGGCGGCTGTGGCTGAGTGGTTAGAGCAGTCGTCCTCCAATGTGAGAGTTAGGGGTTCTATTCCACCAGCAGTCACATGCCGAAGTGTCCCTGGGCGAGACACTGAACCCCTCATTGCCTCCGATGTGTGTCCCATCGGTGTATGAATGTGATAAAGCTCTGATTAATCTCTACAGATTCATATTAGCTTTGTAAATATATAATAGTGCTGTGTGAATGGGTAAATGAGGCACAGATTGTAGTGTAAAGCGCTTTGAGTATCTTGATCAAATAGAAAGGCGCTATATAAAGTGCAGTCCATTTACCATTTGTTAAAACAAAATAGATAACACAACATAACAACAAGAAAATCACATTATTGTATATTTTTAAATTATACACTTATGATAGCTGGATTGTCAGAGTCGTTGGTTGAAAAAGTAAAATTTGGACTAAAATGTATTATTGTGTGTTTCAAAAATTGCACAAACTATTGCTAGGAAACAAAGAGTAAATTTTCCAGTAATTGGTTATTGTTTGTTAGTGAAATTAATAATTTCTGCAATATATGTAAAAAGGTTTCTTAGATGCTTCAATGTTAGCACCATCTGCTTCCATTTCTTTTTCATCATTACATTATGGCGCAGGGACCAGACTTCCTAGACTTTGACTTTGATTTTAAAGCTGGGAGGGATTCGTAGTAATCTACGTTTTCATACTCTGGATACTCTGAATAGGTTTGATCTGATGGGGGGTTCGATGTTGGTTGTTCATACTGTGCTGATGATGATGCATCATCAATTTCATCATTTATTGGCTCTGTGTACTGCAGCAGGTACTCGGGATAGATCTGGTGCTTCTCAAATACAACAAATATCGAGGGGTTTGTGACATCGTCCACACAGCTGTCGTAGAAGTTTGTGTTTCCACCATCTTTGGAAGGAGGCCGAACATAGTGAGAGGATCCTTCGATGTAGCTTCCCACCAGCACCCGGGCGATGAACATGGATCTGACTATATTGTCACTTGTGTACTTGTGGGAGTATGAAGCATTTTGAGCAAAGTAACTACCTGGGTTTAGGAAAAGAGAAAACATATTATTAAGGCATGTTTATTTAGGGAGACAAAAAAACTAATCGACTAACCATCATACCACAAGACCAAATCTAAAGTGCCCAAAAATTGCAATATTTCCAAAAAACACTAAAGGCTTCTCAAGGCAGAACTTTGTAAGTGGTCTGGATCAGCACTTCAGCATGTCCCACTGAGGTCCACCTATGGGGCACAAAAGTTTTACCCAAGTTTTACTTACTCCCTAATGCTGAGCTTTTGTTTATTTAAGAAATATAGTGTCTGCAGTTGTCAGAATCCTGGGGAACTGTAGATCAAGGCTTAAAGGTTTCAAAGGGCATTCACTCATTTATTCAAACCAACTGACCTTTATTTAACTGAAGTTCACACAATTTTCTACTTTGGCCTTCAAAATCCTTGTCTGAATATTTACTACTATAATTAATATCTGCATCTTGAGTTGTTTTTGTGCTGCACAGCTCTGACACACCTACTATTTATGGTCCAACCAGTGACAGACTGGTCCTTCCTTTCCTCCAATTTTCACAACTAAAGTAGATGAATTGCAGCAGTGTGAATTGTTACAGTGGATTTTATTATACGGGGCCACCGTTCTGATTTCTCCATGTCAGTGAGCACTTGGTGTCTGATAAGCGTCAAGATTAGTGGCCTTAATTTAACATTTGGGTCATCCCACATTACTTATGTCCAACAACTGTGGCCTAATTGCCCTCCACTCTTTGCTACAAGCGTACAAGCCACAATAACCCCAATTTTGGAGAAACTGAGAACTCCCTACCTGCATGCAATACATTATCTCAAGTAATATAAAAAGAGAAAATATATCCAATATTTAAATGGGCAAAATGATGCAGTGAGCAAGTGATTCCACAGAGTCCTCTATGCAAAAGACAGGAACACTTACCACAATGCTATAGAAGACTGGGGGTTGACTCCTCACAAGGCGATGCATTTTTATCAAAACATTATTCTACTCAAATCAAAATGTTGTATCCTTTTGTACATGGCAACAACAGTAATATTTTATAATACTTAAAACGATTGCTGATTAGTAGGAACAATAGTCCTTGTTTGATCATTTTACAGTAATAGCTCATATTTATATCAAGACACATCACAATAAATGTTCTGAGGAATATTTTTTGGATGGTTTAGTGAAGTTACTTTTTGAACGTATATCTTGTGCTTATAAACCTGTATATATTTAGAGCTTTATATTCTTGTAAAACTGCTTTAGATCAGTGACAATGGCTTCAGAAATCAATACAAAGTCAATTATCTTCAGCATGATTTTAAACAATCTTTAGAATTAGGAAAATTTCACCCACATTTGGGTGATTGATACCTCCTCACTATTATTCATCCAGCAGAGTGACCACCACAGTATCCTAATAAAGCTAACAAGATTGAGTCAGGTTCTCTGGACAGATTTTTCTTTGTTAAAATGTTTTGTCTTTTATCCAAAAGAGTTATTCAGTTTGAGGAGCTGCAACAAATTCAGTCTTAGAATCAGCACCTTCTCATAGTGGATCAACCAGTTTGTTGGTGACATCCAGAACTAACTATTCACATGTATGATGTGTAGTGAACCAGATGACCTCAAATATACCAGATGGACAGAGACTGTTATTTTCATTGATCTGAATAAGTCTGAACCATCTGATGAACTTTCTTTCTTGCATTAATCAAGCAGAAAAGACAATTCTTTATAATCATTACTGTCTTACAAATGTTTTGATAATCAAATTGTGTTAGTTCACTCAATGCTTTACAGGTTGAAAAGAACTACTCATTTTTATTTTACATAAACAGTAAGTAATGATTTTTGTTCCTCATTCAGAGAAGAAATCACCTGAATATGCCGTGGATCCTCTCACATCAAATTTTGAATAACAGAGATGCCATTTCCTGCATTATGGTGTATTTTAACAGGTTCTTATACATCAATATTTACCTACATTTAAGACACTTAATAAAATTACTATTTTGGAGAAGAACAGCAGGTTGAGTGTGAATGAGGAGCTCCAGTGTTGCCAGGTGTACGGTAATTATCGTATTTGTACGACAATTTTGCCCTCTGTACGATGTACGATCAATAATCCCAAAAAAGGCCAAATATATGATAATTTGACCGTTCTGTGAATGTGTGGTTGTAATCAGCCTCTCGCAATTGTCTGTCGGAATTTTTTTGTGAACCCTGAAGGCATCTGTGTCCGCAAACAGATGCACGATTGGCTGGAATTTCTAAATGTTACCTACGAGTGACGTGCATGTGTTTGCCTCAGAACAACGGCCATGATTGGCTGAATAGTTCGCTGCACCCGCCCCATGAGCGAGGAAAAGAAAAAAGAAAAGAAGAAGAAGCAGAGCCGGTCTGGAAGCAGACCCATCACTACTACACTACACTACACTACACTACACTACTACATGCATAAATAGATTTGTTATTTTGGTTATGACGGGTATATGATAATTTCCCTCAAAATACGATAATTTTATGTCTCTAGTACGATAATCGTACATTTCTCACCTGGCAACACAAAGCAGCTCTGATTCTGTCAGGTGTCCTAAACCCCACTCCTCCCTCCCCTCACTTCACGGTTCTGAGCTGAACTCTTCTGTCCTCCTGCTCCAGTCTCGTGGCACCGTTTAAAGCACCTGAAGGCTTCAATTCTTGGTTGTCGAACCATCCATCCATCCATTTTTTATTAAAGTAAATAGGACTGTCTTTTTGACATTTTGATCGCTGTTGTTATTTTGACAAATTAGCGTCGTTGTTTTGAAACATGATGTATAATGTGAATAACACATCAAACATTTCCATCTTTGTATTTTTAATTAATTTTTACAGTAAGCTTTTTAAATTTATTATGTCTGAAATGTAGCAGGAGTTCAGACACCTGCTGATGTGCGCTCTGTAGAGCTGTCTGGAGACTCTGTGCGTAACGTGCATTGACCACAGGGCATTTATTTATTCTGTTGAATAAATTATAGCTTCTGTTTCGGGGGTCTGAGAGGAGGAGAGGGGGTGTTTTATCAGTGTGCAGCCCTGCAGGGACAATATTTGGAGAGGAGGAGGAGAGAAGGACTCTGCACAGAACCTCCGTTCGTAAATATGACCTCCGTCTTCACCCGTGTCATGATTTAGACTCACTGAGAACAGCCAGTATCAGATGGAGTTGCACTGTGGATGAGGGGGTCTCAGCTACACAAATTGGGCAGCAAATGTATTTTTTTGACTACCAAATATTTGCCCAAAGCAGGTTAGTATTTATTTTGAAGTCAGTGCTTCTTCTTTTTAAGTATTTTGGAAAAACGGCTAATAGTTATTCTAGTCACCATAAAAATGGCTAGCATCCTTTCTAGGCTATCCCTATCAATCTTTTCATTTTTGATTTTTATCAGTTGAACCATACACTTGTTCTGGGTAACAGTTAGCCTGACTCCTTTATGATGATTTTAATAGCATCCCACTTAACAATTTCATACAAATTAACTGGAGTGAGCTCTAAATCAGTCCTAAAATTGACTAATTTCTGTGTTCAGAAGTGTCTTAAAAATATAATACAACTCTCTTTTACTTTAAAAACAAAGGCAATCCTAAATTATTGTCTTTAGCTCACCTTTCCCAAAACTTGTTCCATGAGTTCCACAGATCCTCCAGTCAAAGTTATCATGGCAGATGGCACTCAGATGCCTGGAGCTCGTGCCATGAAACAGATGTCTTTCTGTCACGTCATGCCCACCGTTTTTGTTCTTCATCAAATCCTTCTGCCTTCATTTAGGAAAGACGAAACTTTAACCAAGTTTATAAAACAGAGATATTTGCTTGTATAAAGTAAAATAGTTACTTCACTGTAAAACACTGGGGGGAAAAAACAGCTACAACTACAGGATCATCAGCGGCTTTGGATGTTATCAACTCATTAAACGGTCCGTTATTAGTTGTTATCATCCCCATAGTTAGCGTTCAGACTGTCCTGCCTACCTCCTAGTAGATTTAAAGGTATGTTATTATCGTTATTATCACTGATATTATGCAGTGTCGCACGGGGGTAAACAGAGTTTTTTTTTTTCAGCTTATGTAACCCTTTTCCTAAACCTAACCTTACACCTGACCCAAAGGACCAACCCTAAACTTAACCCCCTTACCCTTGTGCCTAAACCTAACCAAGACCCTAAACGTAACCCCCAGACCCTTTACTCTGAACCTAACCACATGAACCTATTATCAGGGCTAACAACGCTAACAACGTAGCCTATTATCATCACTAACAACGCTAATAGCGTACCTTTAAAGCCACTAGGAGGTACAGGAGGGGCAGTCGGACCACTACAGTACATATGCGGATGATAACAACTAATAACGGTTATTTAATGGCTGATAACATTCGAAGCAGGTGGGATTATGCTAATTGTTGCCAAAATATTGAAAAAGATAAAATAATATATTAATAATACATAAATTTTACATTATGTAAGGCAAATAAATCTTTTTTTCCTAGACAAAAGTTTCATATTGACTTTAAAAAGTTCAAACAAAAACAAACAGACTGTCTTTTTTAAATTTTAGTTAACATACCACATGAAGACTTCCCAAAGGATTTTGTTCTGAATTCTCTCAATACTAAAGACTTTAAATCCTTGCATAGATTCGCAGAAAAGAGCTTCAATGTTTATAAATTCTTTTGACGTGTGTGGAAGGGAGATCCTCTGAAAAACACAAACAGAAAACCTTTTCAGATGCACAAGTCGGTACATAATAGACGTGGAATAGTTGTAAGGAGTTTCAACTGTGTTTTTCACTCTTTCAATTAAAAAATGTATAAAATTCATATACTAAACAAATATAATAAGGTTTGATTGTTTTTTTCTCTCTTTCCTTTTTTTTTGTGTGTGTGTTTTTTTAATGAGTTTGTCTATCAATTTAGCTGGAATTCCTTGATATGTTTGAGAAAATTATATAGGAAAAAATCTAC